GCCAGGGATGCAAAGGAGGTTCCAAAGGTGTTTTGTGTTGACCTCGCTCTACCATCACTCTCCTCCAAAGGCTCAGAGGTAACCCAGCAAGCCACCCTCAAGAAAACCAGACCTATAGAGATTCCTTTCACAAAAAGAAAAGAAACTTCACAATAACGTTTTCCCTCTAGGAAAAAAAATAAAAAGAACATATTTAATTGCAAAATTGGCCTAAATTTTTTTTTTCCTTTCAACAGTGCTGAAAACCTCAGTACTGTGGCCTTCAGGTACAACAGCCCATCCATCAGGAACCAAGGAACTGCAAGTGCTGAACAACTTGCAGAGGGGCTGGGAGCCTCACTGCAGCACAACCTAACAGAGCGTCACTGGTTTAATTGACTGATGATTTAATAAAATGCTCTGCATATCGATTAACTCGCTTTGCTTAATGTAGCTCAGCTTCCTGGCAGCAGGAACTGGCACCACACATTTCCTGGGCTGGGAGCTGAGTTGCCCAGGGGCTGCACCCACCTCTGCTCCAGCCAACCCCCCTGGCCACACCACTTCCCTTACCCAAATCTTTCCTGTTATCCTTTCCAAAATAATGAAGTTTAACAAAAAGTTAAGATACAGGCAAGCAGATAGTACACACATGCATTAAAAAAATATGCTTAAGCCTTATCCATGCTATAGCAAGTCCCTAACCCAGCTTTGCCAGCCCTATCTTACTCCAGAGATTAATACCTAGTCAAATAACCTTAGTCTCAGCACTTCCTTCTTTTGCACTATTTCAATCTCATAACTGTCAAAAAAAAAATCATTTAATGGATTGCTTGATTCCTGCCCAAAGGCTGGAAAGAGATGAAGCAGTGTAGGGTTAATAAAAGTAGTGTTGTCACCTATGCCTGGCGGAGGAAGGCAGAGATCCTTCTCAAAAGTGCACATCTGATTTTCCTGCTCCCATCTCTCCAGCTATCAGAAGATACAAAAAACAAACCTACATAACCCAAATCACAGCAGCTATCTCTCTACAGTCCATATGCCCAATTTCAAATAAAGTAAGATATTGTAAAAGTTGGAAAAACAGAGAGTAAAAGGATTATTAGCCAGCTCTAATTATACAAACTGATCTCATCCTCTTGTCATAAGCCTCTTTCCTGTTTCCGGAATCTATTTGTGCAACAGAAAGACCAGCCTTTTGTAAATGTCCATGGGTCATCAACACAGAGTGATTAATTTCCCACTTTACAATACACACATACTGTCAACCAATTCACTTGTAATCTGATATAACCCTGACCTCACTTGTCAATTTTTTCCTTTACCATATTACTAAAGGCAAACAATACTTAAGATACCTATTTGTAAAATCCAAACAACATTTCAAAAGGAGCTATCACGCTGGTCTAATAAAATAAAAATCACAGACCACATCTTCAGCTCAAGTAGCTACATCCTAATAAAGTTAAGACCTAACAGTCAGCTTGAATTAAAGAGCACCATGTACGCAAAAGCACACATATGTTTATACTCAAATTAAGTCCTCCAACAGGTTCTGGGGCAGCTGTTTCACGTATGCATGAGACTTTTATCTCAGGCTCAAATATTAACTTTCAGAAATCCTTAGCAGACATTCTAGCTGCCTCTTCAAATGAGCAAAATCCAGTTTATACCTTCCAATATACTTTGCTGTTTGAAAACACATTTTGGCAGTAAACTGTGGGGAAGCTCTCAGTCACAATCAGCTCACATTTGTAAGAGTGATCTTGACTTTGGGGGTTTAATCAGGAACTTCATGAAAATCCCTAGGTATCAGGCTGGGCATCATCACACAAGTTACTAGTTACCTTTGAAAACAGAGATGCATAGTATGGGACCAGGTGAAGAATGGTGGGGAGGGAAAAACAGGCTTTGGGGAGTGTTTCACCCCAGGTACAAAAGGATAAACATGATGGACAGCTGTCATCAGCAACAAAATGCCTACAGCCTTACACATGTAGTGGGAGAGAGCAAAGCTGCCAACTATTGATTCCAACAAGCTCTTGACTACAGCATGTCTCCTAAAAACAGCCTTCTCCACCTTATTATTCTCTGACTCTCAAGGCTGTGTTGTTTTAGGAACTACACCAAGCAATGAAAGAAATAATACCCCCAACCCTAGAGCTGAGCAATAAGGCTGTGCTTCTCTCTGTGCTCCCCAAACCACAGCACTTGTACTGCATTCCCAAAACCCCAGGCTTGGAGTAGAAAAGAATCCATGACACCCAAAGCATCATGCATGCTTTTATGATGACAAATATTATTTAATATTTCCTAGCATTTACAAACCAGGTAGTTACCCAATAAGTGCATGCACCAACCTTAACTCTCCACAGCAGAGAGTTCTAGCCAGAGAGTTGGAAAAACTGGCATCGAGACCAAGATCCAAGAGATGTTTCCACTCATGTTTTGACCAAAGCAGCTTCAGAGTCCAACATTTTAATGTGTTCTTCCTTTCTAAAGAATACATCAGATTCACTTTTCCCTTTAGGTTCCTTTTTGCAAATGCTCCCACTGTGGCTCCAGGCATCGCACACTTACTCAGGAAAAGCCTCGTTGGCACTTTTTTCCAGAAGAGGAAAACTTCACCAGAAACTTTGGGTTTCCTACAGGAGTACCTGTGCTAACCTCACTCCCTGTGGCACGGCACAACCACGTCTGCCACTGCAAAATTACTAATTGTTGCTTCTTTCAACTCAAAAACTATGGGAATACGTTCTTGTCTGAACAGATACTTTAGGTAGTGACAGAACATGCTCATTTTGCTGCACATCCTTTCTGAAGCACAACAGCCTCAAAAACACATCATTCACCTAATAAGTGCAATGATGGAGTTATTTGATGTGGCATTTCCAGAAAGGAAAAATGAGAGCTGTAACTCTCTTCCCAGACACTGTATTACACAGTGCATCCAGGGAATGCCCTACAAAAAGTAAAACCCCAAGCAACAAAATGTATTACTTCCCCAGATCAGAAAAGGGAGAACACTTGTTCAAATCCAATTTTTAAAGAAATTAAAGCATCAAATAATAAAAATCTAAATAACCACAATTTGTACCCAGTTCCACTACCCCGCCTTCTATGTTTGAGCCTTTCTACAGCTCACTCATACTCAAAAAAACAAGCTTTGCAGACACCCCACTTCGTAACGGAAATAATTTCTTTCTGCTGCCTTTACAGAGTGCCCTTTCACACTGGTCCCCCAGGAATGGAATGGGTTAAGTGCCCACAGGTCCCAGCCTTTCCATTAAGTCATTTATTACCCCAGCTCGGGGACAAGGAGCTCTGCAGAAGGGAGAGCCCACGCTGTGCAGCTGTTCGCCAGCCAGGCACCTCTCCACAATTATAACACAGGATTAAGCTCAGGGAGTGGAAATCCATCCCTTCATTGCTGATGGCTTTTTTCTTTTTTTTCAAGTTATGCAGCTATTTTAAATGTTACAGAGCTCATTAACATGAAGTTCATTAAGCAGTAACCACTTTATGAATGAAATGAAAAGATTATCATTATAGGCCCAGTTATGGAAATACTAGACCAGCAGGCAGGAAAAGGAAAGGGTATGAGAATGCTGCTCCTGAACTCCAGTTTAGCCTTTTTGTTTTCCCAGGTTCTTCACAGGAGGCACACCCAAAAAACAGATGTGATGCAGAGGTTGGTTCCCAGGCAGGACTTCAGGTGAGAAGCTCTTGCTGCCTCTGCTGGGCCTCCCCAGAGATTTCGCTGCTACTGCCATGCAAAAAATCATCCCCTTGATCACCTCCAGGAATGGTCTGGCATCTTCCTCAGCATCAAGCACTGCTTGCTGCAAGTTCACCATGCTTTCAAAATCAGCAGAAAGTTAAGAAACACTGTGACAAATAAAGCCACAAATTGCTTCTCTGCATTCCTTCTTTAAACATGATGAACTTGGTGACCAGCTCTAAGCGAGACACTTATTCATTCCTGATAAAGCAGGTTTCACTCATAATTTTGCCAAAGACTTCATTTATTTCCCAAGGTCTGAAAATAGGTGTAATTCCCCTGCTCAACCCCACTGAATAAAGTGAAGCCAAACAATTACAATAAATACTTGTCTCTACAGTAACAGCATTTTATGATTAATCCACCCAGCTGTTGCCACAGCTCAGTAATGCCAAACGATCGGGACTCAGTATCAGTAAAATGCTGGTTTTCCAGGCAAGACCATGGAAAATGTGAGGCACTGCAGAAGGTAAACAGGTTAGGGACAGTGGGAGAAGAAAAGAGGCAGCTTGCCGTGGTTGTCCTCTCTTCTTCCCTTGACAGAGCTCAAACATGACAAGCACCCACTTCCAGGCAAGACTCTCAGAGTTTCTTTGCTTCAGGCTAACAGTTTTTGCAAATTCAAGTCATTTTGGAGAGAATGGGTGTAACTCCATGAGTCAAAACAGCTACTCAGTATTGCAATAACCATATACTCGCTTTTAGGTCAGATCCATCCCCTGATCTGGTTCACCACACCAAAAAGCTGGTGTTAACCGAAAAACAAACCCAGAAGCCTCAACAACACAACTGCTCCAGGACAGACAGACAGACAGCCGTTGTGCTGACCGGGAGGCACATCCCACCAGCAGCTGGCAGGACCTCAGCTCTGATCCTGACTGGCTCCCATGGAAATCCTTGGGCTGTAACCATGTGCCTGCTGAGGGACATGAAAGCTGTATCTTAAAATATTAGGGAAAAACAGCTGATGCTGTTAAGTGCTATTTTACATCATGGCGTATGATTGATACAAGAGGTGAGAACACACATCTCTTTTCTGTTTCCACCACAAAGAAACTGTATTTCATGGCAAAGTAACTTTTTGAATTTGCTTATAACACGTGCTTTGATATCAACATGCTCTCCTGCTGTCAAGGGTAAGCCTGACAAATGGCTTGGCAATGGGCAAACCCGTTCTCCCAAACCCCTCACCTCAACCCTCGTTTCTGCCTGAAAGAGCTGCCAAAACATTTAACCTTACTTTAACTGCATGAAGCAGTACACGTGGCTCCAAGACGTCCTTCAGGTCGTTGCCACACCAAGTGGGCAGGAGCAGGGCAGGTCACGACACTCAGCTCCTGGAAGAGAGGGAAGAAGGAGGAGTCACCAAGTGCAAGAGTCATCACTGCTGCTGGGGTCCAACAGACAAACTGGCATCACAACACCTTCACCACGGGGGATGGAAACCATCCTCTACCTTGCAAGCTGCACAGGAGGCACATGTTGCCTCCCAAGGCAGTCCCATGTGGTTCCACGAGCACACACGGGGCAATGATCACACTATGTATAGGGCTGTCTATATGGGCATCTGGCACCACCTAAGAATAACTGCGTTGCTGAGTTCTATTTGCTGCTGTCTTGCTATTTGGTTTATCCTCAAAGCTGTTGATCTGCTGTCCACCACTGCATCACAAACCACTAACCTGGCCTTAAGTCCTTTGTATCCATCAGCACAGCCCCTCCCAGACTTCATCAAAGTCTTTGTGAACTCCTTTATGGCAAGGTATTTTAAAAGGAACAACAGCACTAGAGGTAGATGATGGCAGATGATAGCCAGCAGATGAAGCCAGCAAATCTCTGCCAAACCCTTCTGGGCTGCCTGCACTTTTCCACAGGCTGATTTCCTTCTCTGGGGAAAAGTCTACTCAGTAGATCATCCATAGGGATAAACCTGGCCTACAAAGCACACCTGGAAAGAGCAGTTATAGTGGATTAAATGTCAAAAGGAGAAAAAGCCCAGGTTGGGCTTTAGTTTATTAAATGCTGTTGGGAGATTTTATTAGCCAAATCAAAGTCATCAGAGTACCTCAGGCCATCATTTGGTTACCACAACAGGAAAGGTTGTGGCTACACACACATCACCAAACGCAAGCGCGACACACCAACTGCCTCCTCCCGTTCTACCAGATAGAGACTCTGCCCATGTGCTCTCCCCGTTGGGAAAGCATCCATAATCTGGGAATCTCACAGCCTGAGCCAGCCTGCCGACCTCAAAGTACAATTACAAGCACAGAAGTAACAATGACAAAACTAGTTACCAGCTGGGAAATCAATTGTACTGTGTGAATTAGCCAGGAACAGACTGCACTGGAAGGTAACACACTGCACAACAAATCTCACTTCTTCATCTGCACAAGAACACCTGAACACCTCGATGTTGGTTTTACACAATGTTTTCTTAAGATTAATGGCTAAAAGTCTCTTTTATGCATTCTGCTGAGAAATGGGGAGAGTATTTTGTAAGGCACTACAGGGTACTGTGTTTTACTGCAAGTATATATATTTAGACATAGACCAAATTGGAAAAAAGAAAATTCATACTCTTGTTCCTCTTAAAGTATCAGCATTGTGCACGAATTCCTTCACTGCAATGTCACACATTTCTGAATTACATTCTTATGCCAAACTACTGGAGCTGAAAGAGGAATTACCTGAACTCTTAAACCCCAGTTAAGAGCACACAAACACTCTTTGGATTCATTAACCAGTAAAAACCACCCTTGCAGCCACAAACAAACAGACTGGAACTTCCCTCTGGCATTTCTGTAGTGTTACTCTCAGGACCACATTTTAGAAGATGGTTACCATTTGATAAAGCAATGATTAACTCTGTTAAGTAAGCAACATTAACCCAAGGCTCCTACTTGCCATCCTGTGTTGATCTCCAAATAACAGCTCTCTCCAAGGCACATACAACAACAGTAGAGTGGTTTCATTTGTTTGTGAGACACTGATAACTTGGGTTTTAATACCGTATTTATATATTTTGACAGAGAAAGCAGGGTTTGCTGCTACTCTTTTGAACCAACAAGGAATATGGGTATGGCTAACACTGCTGAAGTAGATACTGAGCCTGCTGTGAATCACTGCATGTTTTTCCTCATATCCACCAAGGAATGAGGGTGTGTGTTTGGAGTCATATGCAGTGCTCACTTGGATGTTCAGGACTTGGAAAGTTTTAGCAAGTGAAGAAAATCAACTGGCCTACCAATGAAAAGCTGTAACATAGATCACAAAATTCTTCCTCATGGTTTTTTGTTTGTCTGGTTTTCTTCTGTGGGAATTTTTAGATTGCTACAAGAAGAAGCAAATAACATTAAAAAGTCTTAAATATATATTTTAGTTCCACATCAGTGGAACACAATCAGTAAGGCTCTCCACATCAAAGAATCAATTCCCCAAAGAACTGATTTCTACTTCCCATGAAACTGTTATGGGACAACCCCTGCACGCCTAAGCACACCCATTTCAGAAGGATTTCCCCATGGGGATTTCTTCTCCTCCTCTTCCTGTACTGGGAAAGTCATTACCAAGTGTAGATGAACACTGACATAGCTCCTGTTTTCTGAGTCTTAAAATTACAGGAAGATGATGATACACAGTAGCTTTATAAAAAGCAATTTGATTTCTACAATGCTCTGCCAGCATTCCCAACAACCTGTAACTGTATAATTTCTGCCTAAAAGGGGTGATAGTAATGGTAACACCCAGTGCTCACTAAAGTAAATGAGAATGTAAAGGAAGGTCTTATTGACACTTGCCCTTATACAACCTATTTTGCTTGAGTTTAATAAAAATAAGGGAAAACCCCATTTCATTGCTAGGACAGGATAATTTGATAGTGGACTGCTCATGGTCTTGCTCCCTCCATACTGAGACAGCTAAAGAAGAAATTTCCCAGGCCACTGATGAATTACTGAAACATCTTTCTGAAGAGACAGGAAAATAAAATTTAAGGACAGTGTTACAGTTATTTACAATTTTAAGAAGACAAAGTAACTGGCCCTGTGGATTATATATGTAATTCCTTCTTTTTCCAAAAAAGAGCCCAATGTCTTAGAGGTGATCTGCATCTGATGTGTCCTTTACAGGCAGAGGAGCCAAGCACCAAAAGATAGGCTCCCTACATTTCTAAATTAAATGAATAGCAGTTTAATAACACAGCCAAAAAAGGAGTTATCCTGTGCTGAAAATCTATTTGGGAGCAATCAGTCAGGGCTCTCAAACACACATGCTTGGTAGAGCCCCAACACATGGACCTCAGGGTTTCCAGTTGCTTTGATGATTCCTCCCAAGCAAACACCGACCCTTGCCAAACACTGCCCAGTGCCCAGCACAAACTACTCCTCAAACTTGCTCTTTTTTCCCTAAACACAAACCCATTTTATTTTTCAGAGAAGTGATATATATTTTGTTGCTCTGCCAGCTGACGGCTTTGACACATCGAACGGGTTATCTCACCATCTGGTTATAATTGCCATCACAAAGCTTTCAACAAATTAAAGGAAGAGCACCAAAAGGAGGGCACTAATGGTCCAAGAGATGAACTGCTGATTACTGGGGATTATTTGATACAGTTGGAACCTTTTCATAGACAAGACGCCCAAACACAGCCAATCCCACAGCTGCAGCACCCAAACAAGCCTCTGGAGTACTTCCGAGTTCTGGCTGTTGCCCACTATAAAACCTCCTCACAATTTCATATCAAAAGGAAAAAAAACACTGCTTGTCCTCCTCATCACCCAAACTGCTGGGTGTACAACTGCATGCTGCTGTAACCTTTTGTGTTGAATACACAGCCTATACTTGTGTATCACAATATTCTCGTTATAGGACATCCTTTTCCTGCTTCTATTGAAGATAGAGGAGAGATTGCCTCACAAGACATTTCAAGAAGTTTGTCCCGTGGTCTGAACTATGTTTCCTAATTCCTTAGGGAAGGGAGTCTGGACACACTCCGCTTGGACACGGTGACACGTTCCTCAGACAACCAGAGGATCAGGCCCTGCCAGGATGGGTTTAAGAAAAGCAGGTCTTGCTTGACTAGCCCAAGGAACTGGTGGAGTCACCACCTCTGGAGAGATTTAAAAGACGTGTAATGTGGTACTTAGGAACATGGTTCAGTGGTGGTCTTGACAGTGCTGGGTTGATGGCTGGACTTGATGATCTTAGAGGTCTTTTCCAAGCTAAATATGATTCCATATAAACAGAAGAATAAAGTATTATTTGCCTAAAATCTGCTTTGCTTTGACAAGTGTAAGTGCAACATGGATCCACTAGCCACTGCATCACAGTTATCACATTTGTACCAGCAGATTGCAGCTCCTCACATTTTGACACACACACAAGGTTCCTCTGAAAGTAAATGATGGGTTTTGTTTAGAGAGCAGCATCTGACTTGGCACACTGGATGAAGAAAAGCCAAGAATTTTAAAACAATAGAAAGTAAAACATATCCATATTTCACATGTCTGTACACATTGCAGAGCAAGCAATAATATTAAGATGTTAACTGGAGTCCCATTAATCCTGATTACCAAGAGATGGGAGACAAAAATTCTTCCATATACCCTAAGTCAACTTTTGAAACCTAAACTCTTTTGACAGCGTCGCCTTGAACTTGTAAACAGAAATATTCCCAGTTGGATGAAAAGGGGAGCAAGGATGCACCCATCCAAGAGCACTTCCCTGCTCATTCTAGCCCTGGACAGAAACAGATTTTTCTCTCTAGAACTCTGAGAGCATGGTCCTGCACAAGTGCTCTTCAAAGGTATACAAGGTTTTGGCCTTCAAAATTGAAGGGAAAAAACCTGAAATAATAACAATATTTTTATTAGCCATTACAGTTTTTTACTAATAATAAAATCAGGACTTGGTCCAGAAATTTGATCTTCCTTAAACTGAGGCCTGTCACCACGTTCATCCTAAATAGCAACTGCTTCTTTTCAGACAGTCTTGTAAAACCACATCAGGATTGAGATAAGGGCTTCAGACTGTTTCCACAAGACCATCATGGCTAACTATGGGAGATATTAAAACTGAAGTCGTGGAGGGTTTATAATCTGTGCAGCAGACTAACACTTCATTGATTTACCAGAGCAAGACCACCATCCCCCTTGTTCCCAGGGTCCAATATCAGAGCAACTAGCTAAAAAATAAAGCAAACAGCAGCAACCTGCAGTCACATCCCAAGTCCACACATACTTCTAAAACACTCTTTTCTACAAAGCTCTTTTAAATCTGCAACAGATTCTTCTCCTCCCCCTCTTTTCTACGATGATATTCAGGTGACAATCTC